ATATATACACATATACATACATACATATATATATTCACATACACATACATATATATATATATATATACATACATATATATATTCAAAGACAGAATAAGACAAGCTAGAGGCTATCTACCTTGTACCTTACTACTAATTAGTATATATATTATTTTTTTTGCTTATTTTTTTGGTGCAGCAACAATAATTTGCCTCTTGTATGTGTATCTTTGCACGAAAAAAGATATTAGAGACACACTTTGTGTAAAACTGCTATAAGTTAAAAGTTTAATTCCTTTAGTTAAAAATAAGGGAATTTCCTTGATGAAAAGATAATGGGATACAGATTTGACTTTGGGTAATTGTTTTTGCATTCTGTCTTTTATTTAGAGTACGCCTTTAAAGCCATCAATCAGGGAGGAATGACCTCTGTGGGGATCAGAGGGAAGGACTGTGCTGTGGTCGTCACACAGAAGAAAGTTCCAGTAAGTATGAGCATCCACATGTTTCTGCCTTCTGTTGCCTTCCAAACTGCTTAAAGTGTTTGAAATTTCACTTTCTCTGGTGCAACATGTGTCCTAATGTTTTTCAGGACAAGCTGTTGGATTCTGCCACTGTCACACATCTGTTTAGGATCACAGAGAACATAGGCTGCGTCATGACTGGTATGACTGGTAAGTAATTCTTATGTATTTTATCTGGATTTAAAGTAGTGTATGATTGTAATAGGAGAAAACTATTTTTTTTTTGTTTTGTTTTGTAAAAAAATCCCAAAGAAAAAAAAAAAAAAAAAGGAATTATTACATCTTGCATCTGTAATTTGATTAATTAGAACTACTGTCTGCCTCCTCTATCCTCTCAGCTGACAGCAGGTCTCAGGTGCAAAGAGCACGCTACGAAGCTGCTAACTGGAATTACAAATACGGCTATGAGGTCCCAGTGGACATGCTGTGCAAACGCATCGCCGATATCTCCCAGGTCTACACACAAAATGCTGAAATGAGACCGCTCGGCTGTTGTAAGTAATATCAATGTGTATACTGGTATCCGTCTGAGATTTAAAACTCAGACGCCTTTTTGTAATGATGTTGTGAGGCTTAGATTGTGCCTGCACAAAGTGAAATGCTATAATGTAAGCTTGCATCCCCCCTGAAGGTATGATTGTGGTCGGCATGGATGAGGAGCTTGGCCCACAGCTTTATAAATGTGATCCAGCTGGCTACTATTGTGGCTTTAAGGCGACTGCAGCTGGAGTCAAACAGACTGAAGCCACCAGTTTCCTGGAGAAGAAAATCAAAAAGAAACCTGATTGGACCTTTGAGCAGACAGTAGAGGTAAAACGTACACAATACAACCAAATGTTTCAAGCAGTATGAATCTTTAAGTAAAAGAAAGAAGTGTTCTGTTTAAAAAAACTAAAAAATGTAGGCATGTCTTGCAGTCTGGTATTTATTTTTAACCCTATAAATCAGGGCTGATGCATGAGGTTTTCATCACAATAACTTAATAGTTTTATGCAGATAGATAATTATCACCATTTGCTGACATTTTTGAAAAGGTTTCTGTTTGGAAATGGTAAAGCACTGAGAATACACCTGAAGGATGGTTTATGAGAACCTCCCAGTAACAGGATGCTCCTCAGCTGGAGAACAGAGCTATACATTTTTCTACTAAGAACTACAATAATCTTCACTGCTGGTGAAACAGGCTCCTGGTACTGTTTGGCTTTACACATATTCTCATTTTAAACAAAATCAAAACTTAATCAATGATGAGGCCTTCATACCTTCCAGAGGCCTGAAGCCACTTAGCCAGAAACTTTTCTAATGGAGATTTAATCTTGGTACCATATGTCTAACAGTAAACCATAGAGAGCTTTGCTTTTTAAGTTTGATCCTACCTCACTTTTACAGATCAAACAAAACCCCAACACTTGAACATCTACTCTTGATGTTAAAGATATGTACGTATTATGGGACCTTTACAGTTCCATAGATAATTTTTTATTCAGAGTAAATGTGTGTCAATTTTCACACCCTTTTTTTTACAAAGATTTGCAAATTATTAGAATAATTATGAATTGATTTAAGAGTTTTGGAAATTGGATAAAAGTAGGAAAAATACAGTAAAAGGGGTGTAAGAGAATTTGTTTTCAAGCTTTGTCTTATCTTAAAGCTATAAACTTTTCTAAAATCTCTCCATTATGTCTCCAACCAGACGGCTATTTCCTGCCTTTCTACTGTTCTGTCCATTGACTTTAAGCCCTCGGAGCTGGAGGTGGGAGTCGTCACAACTCAGGAACCAACATTTAAGTCAGTTCAGATAAACATATGATATTTTTTTAAATCAAATTTCTGCTTTTACTTTTTACTGTTTTACTTACCGTAACTAAAATAAATGTGTGTCTGTATTTCAGGATTCTGTCAGAGTCTGAGATTGATGCTCACCTTGTTGCTTTGTCTGAGAAGGAGTGAGGATGAACAACAAAACCCTGAAGTGTCAAATAAAGGAAAAAATAAGAGGATCTGCTTTCTTCTCAATCCAGGGACATTTAAAAACAGCAAGATTAAATCAGGACATTTTGCTGCAGGTTGGGTTCAGTTTTTTTCCCCCTCTGTCAGCTGCACTGCCTTTTACAAACCTCTGTTCTTGCAGGTCATAGTCTAAGCCCCCACTTATCCACCTCTATTTTTTTTTTACTCTTTCAACCCTGACTGCAGCTGCATTTTTAAAGACAATGTGAACTTTTAGATTGGTGCTCCCAGTGACATAAAACTACCCCAGATGCGTTAAATTTCATTTTTTGACATCAGTACATAATTAACACTACAGCTGCAGAACAATACTTCTCAGTCATAGGTTTCATTTTTACTCAGGATATCTCTGGAGTTTCCTGTTGGAGCAGCTCCAGGAATTTTTCTGTCAATACAATCATCTTTGCATCTTCATCAATCTCTGCTCAGGACAACAAGGACTAACTCACTATTCAGTTCTATCCTCTCAGCTGCAATCATCTCTGTAAGCTGCAGCACTTCTATTAAATACAGTGTTTTTATTTAACTACAAAGTCTCGACTATTACTCAATTTTTCTGAGATTGAAATGCAGCGTCTGCATTCAATCTTACTGCAAATATTCAGTGGGTTACTGCAGTAAGTGCATCTCTGCAATGGACCTAACACTAATGCAATGCTGTGAACATGTGGGTGAGATTATTTTGTTTGTGCTTAATCTACATACGTCCTTTCTGTACAAATATTGTTACACGTGTCGCATTCTGCATCACTGCTTTTGTGTTTTCAGCACCAAACTGGAGTAATAACAACCGTATCTCCTTCAAAATAGTTTAGTTTTTAAATGACATTTTATTGTAGTGAGTTCTACATCATCTACAAACCAGCTACAGAGAATTTACAAATTTTTTTGTAAAAATGTTAGCAAAACTTTTCTGTCACAACTGGAAATAACCCTTGATGAGACTGGGTTTGCTAGTGAGCAATGAGAGAGAGGATCTGAGATGTCACCAAATGTGTTTCAGCTTTTTATGATTGAAGGCCACACCTTTGCTCTTGAGGAAAGTAAATTGCAAAGTGTAACTCAGCCCAATGTAGAAAAAGAAATCATTACCCCACTACCTGAAGATTTTTGAAACAATGCCAAAGTGGTCCATTTTAAGAGAGTCTCAGGGGCAGGGAACTGTACTCTATTGAGACTAACACAGCTTTATCTTATTTTTACTCAAGGGTACAAAAGCTACTCAAGTACTGAGTAAGTCATTGTAATCTCTAATATTTGCAACTGTGTATTATAATACAAACCAAAATGTAGTTTCCTGAAAATTGTACTTTAACGATTATAATAGGGTAAATACAAAAAAAAAAAAAATAATGTAAATATAAGATGACAAAATTCAGGCATAAAAAGATTAACCAGACTTTCCAGTGCCATGGTAGCCAATAAAAGGACACTCATTCTGACATAAACGTTAACTGTGTGTTTGTTTTGAGCCCCCCCCTTTTTTTTAAACCAGCTTGTTCATCATAAAGTGAAGTTACAATCAATGGAGTAGTACCAAACATTTTACTTAAATGCACACCACTGATATTGTAGATCTGTTGTAGATCTAATGGTTTAGGAAGGCTGTGTGGAACCTGATCGGCTGGAGTGTAAACAATCTCAACTGCAATCAACTATGTTCAACCCAAAGAGGGCAGCACTAAGATGGCTTTAAGACAAATATTACAGAATGAAACAAGTTTACATGTTAAAATGTAAAAAAAAAAAAAAAAAAAGCCCTGTTTATACAGATGAACTGGGATTAGTTAACATACAGGGGTTTTAAAGTAAGGACACCCTGATTCACAGAACCTGGGCCTGCTGTTTGAATACAAATGTATGGATCTATGAGCTATTCTCTCCTATAATCAAAGCTTGTCCTAGAAGGTGTCATCAGTACCTCAGTGGTTCCAAATATGGCAGCATTTCTGTAATAAAACGTCTCCAAGGACATTTCAGCCTTTTATCTGGACAACCTGTGCAGAAACGGATACATGTGACCCAGATGGCTAGAAGCAGTGATGAAAAAAGTAGGATAGGTAAACATTTTTCTCATTACATCTGAAGACTAAATCTGAAGGTAATAATAGTTCTACAAGTTTTTAATCAAATAATAGCATGTAAATGAGGGAAAATTGTCTTATTTATTTAATTATTTGACGTATAGGTCCCTCCTTTTTAGACCTGTTCATGATGATGTGGCATGACAGGTATGTCATGAACAGCTTAAATGTTCTGTTCCTGTAGATTTCCTAAAAACCTCAACAAATTTCCTTATTCAAATGACATAGCAGTTGACCTCATTCCCTGTGCATGGACAAAAAAAAAAAATTCCCAAAACCTCTTATCTGGGTTTTTATTTCACACGTGCATGAGGAACAGTCAAAGCTTGACATGCACTTCCTCATTCACTGGAAGTGAGCTGTCGAACAATCTTCCTTTTTTCCTTTCATGTATGAAAACTAGGTTGTCTGATCAGAAATGACGGCCGGCTCAGCCGTCACGCTCTGGCGGAGGCATTAAGATGACCAGACTCATAGACGACAGGAAGACGGCTCATGGGTAATTTCCTGCATAATTATAGCCTTGTAGAGCTGTCAGGCGCTGTTGATTACATGTTGCCTTTTGTGACTTCAGCATTTTTAGATTTATAACTTGTCCCTCATGTTTAGTGGGGAATCGTTAAAATGCTCTGAAAGGCTTTTAGCTGCAAATCCATGAAATTAATGTGACGAGCCATTATTTCTACTGTTTCAGTGACGATAGATTGATTCTATGTTCCAATCTTGACCAATTATCAGGCAAGTACTTGGTGTTGATCACATTAAGTCAGTTTTTGTTTATCCGTCTGCTTTTGGAAAAACTGACCAGCCTTAGGATTAAAATCTGGGGAGTTTCCAGGCTTAAAGTCCAAAGGTTTAAGGTTCTGATCCCTGTAACAGTTCGTCATCCTGGAAAACACCCAGAAGGTATTCCGAGGACATTTTAGTATCGTTCTTTATTCAGCAGTGATCGAAGTCCAGACTCCTTTGGATGAAAACAAACCACCTCTATAGATTTTATCAGGATGCAGACCAGTGTTAGCTTCCAGCCAGTCCCTAACCCTTCTGTGAAAACGTGCAAGACCTGCTTCTATCTGGAGGTAGTAATTGCCAACACCAGGACAATGTCATCAAGCACATCTGTCGCTACTTTTAGAGCCATCAATCACTAGTTGGTTTGTGTTTTTAACTGGGTTGTTTTCCAGCTGTCCTGGTCCAGCCTTCTTAAAATTTAATTTGCTGAACCTTAGAAAAGTCTACACACCCCTCTCCCCCCCAAGTATCTTTTTTATACCACAAATATATTCACAGAGAAGGTCTGAGATGTTAAATATGAGTGTTTTAATTTAATTGGTGCGCGCTGGAACTGTTTGCCATCCGACATTTACAACCTGCTGAACTGTACACATTCACAGCTTCCATAAAAAATACATCTTCATATACACAGCATTTACAGTATCATACAACAGAGCGGGTACAGGGTCTTTAAAGTGCCCCACATGTGATCCTCTAACACAGCATTCCTGTTTCGACCTGTGCATTTTGTTTTTTATTTGCTCTCCTGCAGTGGTCAGAGTTCTGTTTTATATCCGGAGCAGCCAGCCTGGCCTCTTTTTCAGCAGCACTTGTGCTCTTTCAGCCGCATCCCCTTTGCTTGTCATCCTTCCGCCGTGACAGCAAATGAATCATACACGCGCTGAGCTATGCCATCTTCATTCTTGTCACAATCACCTTTGGCTGTTCTGCAACTTCCTTGATCTTGTTTCTGCTAATGTCCGTTCCACCGAAAGTCATCGTACATTCCCTGCAGACAAATATGACGGGGCAAAAAAAAAGCATTTCACAACCATCTGGAATTTTTAACACTTCATTAGATGTTCCTAGTCTAAACTGGAATTTCAACACACCTCGACATCCGACTCTGACTCCTCCTGCTCTTCTTCCGACTCTTCCTCGCTGTTGTCTGATTCATAAAGCTCCCTAAGATCCGGATGGGTCACCGGAAGCAGCTCTTTCCGGATATCGCAGTTCTCCAAACCATATGTCAGTTGGAAGGGAGTGTGGCCCCCTGACGAGAGGAGGTTGGGGTCAGCTCCTTTCCTCAATAGGAGTTTGACCAGACCCAGGTTCTGCTGGTCCACAGCCAGATGCAGAGAGCTGCGACCGTTGTGCTGCTCCTACAATAACAGAGGCATTGTTTTAAAACCAAAACATTCCCTACATCAGTCCAGTTCCTGTTTCTTAAAATTAATCTGGTGAAGGATGCTCACTTTTGCGTTGATATCCGCTCCGAGATCAACCATTTTCTCCACCAGTGAAAGGAACCCATGAACTGAAGCCAGGTGAAGGCAGTTTTGACCTAATTGAAAGAAGAGCGCAGGTGATTAAAAAAAACTGACTCCTTACCAGCAGCAGCAGCCACCATATTGATGTGCGTTCTTTAAAGCAATCTCACCACTGTAATTGCAGGCAGCCATTGCTGTGTGTAGGTGCTCCAACCTGCAGTGCTGTGTGATAACGCTGAAGCAGTGCAGGTTACCGTGGCGACAGGCGATGTGGAGAGGTGTGTCCCCGTTGTTGTCCACCAAAGTGGGGTCACAACCGGAATCGAGCAGACTATAGCACACATCTGCCTGGTTTGTTATTACTGCTAAGTGCAGAGGTGTCTGTAGAGAAGCATCTATGTCACAACACTGATCCAAATAAGAGCAAACAAAGCTTTCACAGAGTAGAGGGAGGGGTCCTATACCTGTCTCAGATCATTCTGTGCATCCAGGAAGTTTGAGAATCTTGAAAGCTCAATCATTTGTTTGATGTAGTCTTTTGCCTCGTGGATGATGGCCAAGTGGAGCAGCCTGTAAAGACAGACTAAAGTTAAAAGGCTGTTGGACAACAAAAACAGAAACAGACATTTCTTTTCAAAAGGTGCTGATTTATAGCCCCTAAAAGCAAATAGGCATACAACTGAACCTGAACCAACAAGGTTATTTAGTACTAAACAATGTGCATGCGTTATGTTATTTTTAAGTATATGCATTTTTCTTGTTTTAAAACAAAATGGCAGCAGTATCACGTTCAGATGCAACTTCTTTAAAACATAATGACACATGCTGAAACCAAGAATAAAAGATCCTAGCAACTAAATGGATCTTGTTTTTTTTTTTTTTTAAACATTCAAAACCAACTTGCAAGCAATAAAAGATGAAAAGGTACCTTTAGCACACAAAAAAACGGGTCTATAAATGTTACTGTAAGATTTTTTTTCTATTTTTCAATGGTGCTGGGATTTTAAATATAAATTATCTGTAAAGGTCTAAAGTAATAAATAATTTTAAACCTCTTTTTTTTATATAAAAGACTGTCTTACAATGTCATTTTTTATGGAAGATGATGGAAGAATAGGTAGTCTTGCCTAATACACTATACCTAATGGAATCTTGAACGGAAGTAAAAAACTCTATACCATTATTATTTTTGTAAGATATGTAGTGAAAAACTGTTTTGATCAAAGTTATTAAAAGTATAGGAGCAAAATGCAACTTTTCATCTGCAGATTGCAGTCCCAGTAGGTTTATAAGGTGAAATAATAGTCACATGCTAGCAGACTTTAAACATGAATCTGGGGAAGGGGCACCAATGTATCAGCTGCATGGGCCCTACTTTAAATACTTTAAAGACGGCCCTGGTTAGCCAGGAAAAGCGCAGTTGTGATGCGTTTTTGCAGACGTTTAATTTTAACTCAAATGTTTTGAAAGGATCCTATTATTTTCCCCCATTGATCTAAATAATAACTTGCTTAATTTAAATTAGGCTCAAACTATTAATAAGGTTAAGACAAGAGTTTTTAGTGGGGACTACATTTCTCTGCGGAGGAATAAGATAACAAAAATAAACTTCATGGTGACTTTAGCGACTTGTTCAACCTTATTTCTATTGCTTTAATAATAGCCGACCCATTTCAAAATTTAGCGTTTTGGTTTTTGTTCTTTGGGTATTCACATGGTGATATTTAAGGGATTTTTTCCCCCTAATTTCCCCTTTCTTTGCTCTTCACGGGAACGCGCGTCGGTTGGAATCCTTGGCGGCGCGCCCGGGACTTTCCCAACCTGACCTCCTGATAAATGGCCTTTTTTGTTTACTATATCCACTCTGTGGTCCCAGCATAAAAAATAAAATAAATAAATAATTATAATAAGAATAACTCCCCTTTAAAGTTCACTCAGACGCACTGCTTTAATAAAACTGCGAGTAAATCCCAAACCTCGGCAACTTTAGGGCCCGAGTTTGACGGAGGAAGGCATTCCCAACCAGAGGGAGGCATCAAATTACTTCAAAGACCCAGAACGAGGCCTTTAGTTTCAGGCTTCCCTTCCTCGCTCAAATAACAAACAAGCTTATAAATAACCCGGTGGATAAAAACTTACGTGTCTCCCTCGTCTGTGGTCTGTGTCTGCCACTCCTGCAGCGGCTCCTTGGTTAAAGCAGCGGCCTGTTGGTGTTCGCTCTCCAGCTGGAGCCGATGGATCTCATCGGCCACAGCCTGGTACTCTTCCTCCTTCAGCGAGTCAACGCCGCTGTCGAGTCGCTCTTCCGTCGATTGGGTCGCTTTCCCTTCTTTAGAATCCCGATTATAATCCATTTGGTTTAATATACTGGTCCGATGGAGGTCCATGTTTGTTCTCGCAGTGCTTGCTGTGTGGTAGCAAAGTCTGAGTGCTGCAGCAGCCTGTGAATGTCTCTATGTCTGCAGCGGGCGGAGTTTACTCATAGGTGGGGGGTTTCCAGCAAACTGACAACTAGAATAACCTCGCAAACACTCGCAGAGGCCTACAGGGGATTTCTGCACAGACCAGAGTGCATAAAAAGGCAGCTCATTAAGCAAAAGCAATAAAAAAAAAAAAAACGCTTTCAGGGTCAGAGGCGGAACTGGTCCAATGGGGGTCCCAAGGCTAACAGGCAACCCCCCTCCTCATAGCTATAATTTTTTTTATTCCCTATATATATATATATATATATATATACGGTATATATATATTTAAACAGGGGTTTCTGCAAGGTCCTATAAAAAAAAAAAAAAAAATTAACAAACTTTTATTTTTTTTATGCTATTCATTTAAAACCCTTTTCCTATGTTGATATTCTTTTTTAAAGAATGTGCTGGTGGCAAATATTTATTTATAGCTCTTAAAAAAAAAAAACGAGTGAGCCCAAAGCCTATAATATGTAGGTGCATATTTAGTTATCTAAAATATATAAACCTTCATGCTGCTCAGTGGCGGAGTGGGGAGCACTGCTGCCTTGCAGCAAGAAAGTTCCTGGTGAGGTTCTCGGCCCGGGGTCTTGCTGCATGGAGTTTGCATGTTCTCCCTGAGCATGTGTGGGTTCTCTAAGGGTACACTGGCTTCCTCCCACAGTCCAAAAAACCATGGCTGTTAGGTTAATTGGCTTCTCTAAATTCTCCTTAGGTGTGAATGTGTGTGTGAATGGTTGTTTGTTCTGTGTTGCCCTGCGATGGACTGGCGACCTGTCCAGGATGTACCCTGCCTCTTGCCCGTAGACAGCTAGAGATAGGCACCAGCTCCCCTTGCGACCCCACTTGTGATAAAGCATGTCAGAAAAAAAAATGGATGTTTATTGCTATAGTTAAAGGTTTAGTGGAGGATTTTTGCAAATGTTTGAAAAAGACACGCCCCTCTCCACTTAAAAGAAAAGAAATTGCACATGCACAACCCTGTACCCGCTCCAGAGAGGGAACGCCTATTAAACGAGTGCGAAAGCATGCATGAACCCTTTTCTCCATGTGCACGCTCTGTTTAAAAGTTGCTGTTTGCATCGCTCATACAAGCTTACTTTCCAAAAGAAGATTTGCAATTTTTCCACTATATCAGACTCCCCACTGGTAAGTGAAAATGGGGACGACCAGGTACTACGGCCTTACGTAAACATATCACAAGAATGATTGACAATTAGGAGGACCACTTATTTTGGTGATCCACCCAGAAAAAGAACATCCTCCACAATACCTTTAAAATAACGATTCAAAGTCATGTGTTACATGGATTTATAACACACAGAGTAAAGCAGAAGTATATGTTTTCCCTGTTGATAGTCGATGTATCGGGATCTACATCACTACTGTATGGTTTTCTTCATATCTTTATGATCATTCAGTGTAGCATCTTTGAATTAAAGATCTTCCCTAAGCCAATTTTTGATTTGTGTGTACCTTCTGTTTTAGAGCCTTTCTTATTTGTAGTTTATAATCTTAATTTCAAACAAACCTTTAGCACCTTCATATATCGCATATCAGCAATATACAGATGATATTCAGGTGTGCATACCATTTCTGGATTATTGAGGTATCAAAAGTGCATGTTCTCTTTAAGGGTAAAGAAAGCCCTGTTTTTATTTATAGGGTAAGTTGTTTTTGACAATTATAACTTCTCTTCTCAGACAAATAGATAAGATTAAATCAGCATCTGCATAATGGAGTGTTTTTAAAAATTTCCTGATAGATGGCTGTGCTGACTTTGTACTTAATAAAAAAACACAGTTGACCAACATCAGAAAAGGACATGGTACTTAAATAGAGACTGAATAGAAACTTCACATGGGTTATCAAGCAACTTGGATTCTATGCCTATTCTCTCTACTTTCAGAGCATTCATCTTTTCCTGCTAATTCCTTATGTTTGCAGTCTGGCCAGTACCTATCCGTGGCAGTCAATAGGCCAAAGGCAGGGTACACCCTGGACAGGTCACCAGTCCTTCGCAGGGCAACGCAGAGACGTACAACTATGCACACACACTCACACCTAAAGACAATTTAGAAATGCCAAAACAGTCATGTTTTTGACTGTTGGAAGAAGCTGGAGTACCCGGGAAGAACCCACACATACATGTGGAGAATATGCAAACTCCCTGCAGAAACTTCCAGAACGTTATTTCTAAATTGATTTTAAAATGTACCTTCTTTTATAAAGCAGACATTGGACCACTGAGCACCTGTTCCATGTTTTCCTCCTTAAATTTTCTCAGATTATCTCAAGCTCAGGAGTGGCTTAACAAAGGGATGAAAAGGGTTGTGGCTAATGCTTTGAAAAAAAAATATATATATAAAAATAAGCTGAAAAAGTTATACTCACCTGCAAAGGCTGTTTGAATGGAGAATTATGATAAGTGCTAAGTAAAGTATTTCTGATGATTAATAAAATTCTTAACTTTAAATAATAGTAAACCAAAATGTGAAGTACTACAACTTCAAAAATCCTGCAACATTTAATTTATTGTAGATTAATGAATCAATCAATGAATGTATGAATTAATTGTTTACTTTATTGCAGACAATCAAGAACCAATTTACAAATTTAATACCAAAAGTACTAAACATCAACAATATTTGCAAATCTTTTTTTAACTTATGAGTCATACTACTTCAAGAGTCCATTAAGAGTTTTCACACTTTATTTAATTATTACCAATAGCCCACACAAGCACAAAAATTGCAAAAATATGTGGTTTTAGGATGTCAAAATGACTTTATAAATAAAAACAGGAAAAGGGAGATAAATAATTGGCCTTTACTATAATCAATGTGAATCACAGAAATATACAAAGTGATGGAAGCCTTCAATGTCTTTCATCTCCAGGTTCATCATTTTGCATCCCTATAATGTGCATTAGCTGTTGAACCCCAGTCACTTCAGAGTATTAGGCATGTCTTTAGTATGGCAACACTGGTATTCAATGATTTGATAAATTATGGAAAAAGAAATACTAGGGAAAAAAAGTCAAATTGTATTTGCTTGACGTATGTTTTGAAATTCAAGTGATGGGCTGTATAAGAAATGCATATATTCCAGGTCCAACTAATGAAAGTTTAGCAAATTAGATTTTTGTCTTCTGTTAAAATGTCCCTATTGATATATTTATTCATTATTATCCTTTAAAATTCCTTTTTATAATTTTTTCTGTCTAATCTGGTATATAAATGAAACACATTGGGGTCAGGACACCATTAAAGCTAAACACAATTATAACAGGAAAAAAAAAATTAAATGAAAATTTTGTTCACAGCTAATAAAATGGAAAATACAGTAGATTAGAGAGAATCTTTCACTGTAGAAGTGAGAATAAAAAGGATTTTTAATTCAGTCATGTTGGCATATAGAAAATCAACTTGATTATGTCGCTATTCCACCCCAGATTTATATAAGACAGTAATACAGGAAATTTACGGGAGACTTTTAATACGAGAGGAAGGCGAGAAAGAGGGGTAAAATACAGTCGTTTTCTGGCCAAAACGGGATACTTGACAGCCATGGTGGTGACAAAATTGGCATCTGTCACTGTTGCTTTTCCATCCTCAACAGACTTTTTCCTTCAACTCAACTTACCTCTAATTTGTATTATTTGGATGCAGGGGTCTGTGAAAAAGCATTGTGAGTCATGAGCTCTTTCCGCTTCCATGGGAACGGCGCAAACAATTATCTCGTCAGAAGTCGAATATTTTTGTTTAACAAATGAGCTTTGAATAATATTTAAATTTTTGAGTAATATCTATTTCATTTGTATCCCGGTTCTTCCAGAAAGGAAAGAAGCTTCCCTTTTGATAGGACCAACACAAACATATTATCAAAACTGCACCTTTATCTGCAAAACCTTTGCAAATCACTCAGCAAGCAGTGCTCAGCAGCTCTTCTGCAATAGGTGGGCAAAGCTGCGGGCCTGGGGTGTGCATGTGGGGGTTGGGCTGTGCAGGAGTGTCTTCTAAAAGGTTAGAGTGTTATTTCGGCCTCTTTCCGTGCAGAGTGATAAATGAAGCTGCAGTGGAGTTTCCCCCTAATACCCGCGGATGCTGACCACAAGTTGAACAGTGCAGTCTGTGCTTAAGGGGTAGAAAACATTCTAATGTATCAAAAGCTACTGAACTCACTACTCATACATAATTGCTGTACATGTGATAAAATATTTCTGCAGCTGAGATCAAGTGCTGCAAATACGTAGGTTATTTTAATCACTGGCCGAATAAAGAAACCCCCTGACAGTCTCTTGCAAGACTTGAAATTCTTGATTAGGCTACAAGACTCCACAAGATTGCGAGTGATCCCTTTGCAAAACAAATAACAGTTTGAACAAAATGTTCTGAGGGCTTAATGGGGAAACTCCAGGCTTCCTATTGTTCATTTGAGAGACCAGTTAAACCAGGAAGCTAAGGCCTTGCTCTCAGCACTTTTTTGTTTACGGTCACATAACAGCTGGTGGGGAGGACATTAAGAAAAGGCAGAGACATGCAATGTGGTATTCACAACACAGGCTGCATGGAAAACATCCACACCACTATGGAGGGAAACAAAGTTTATCCCAGAGTTTATTACATACTTATTCATGCATTTTTTAAACACGCTATGGATCAAATCAGCAACTTCCAGCTTTAGGTATCAGGAAGTGTTCATTTTCCTTTGCAAAAAACCCTAAACAGGAATTTTAATTGACCTGAAGATCAGTAATAGGACACAAGTCACTGGAAGGAAGTGAATACAGATCTGAGTTTATCTGGATTTTTCCTTTTGATGAGTAATAGCTCTGTGTTTTTCTGTAGGATTTCCTTTATGTAACCTGAGTCATCAGAAAGCTGAGATTACTTATTAATTGCTGGAATGTTTAATGTGGCAGAAAAAGGGAGCTAAAAATATTCTGATTACAAGATACAGAATGTGGAAAGTACTTTGGAAAATGCACA